GTGTTCCGAAACTGGTTGATTGTTAATCTCCTCAGTTGCTTCGGGATCGGTTGCTTCAGTTACTTCTTCAGCATCGCCGGTAATCTCCACAAAGCGAGATTCCTTCGGAGGTTTCTGGTAGCGGAGTTTTCTGAGTAGCTCGGGCTGTATACAGAAAAGGAGACTTGAGAGTGGAAGATTCTGCTTCGCCGCTAGGCTTGGCATTTTTCCTCGGAGGCATGTTTAGACGGAAAATGCGAGTGTGAAATCAGAATATACTGTTAAGAACTGGAAACTGACTAATGTCGGTGGCCGACAGGGACCGATCGGAAGGACTTGGCTTCAGCTTATGGGCTGCGCCCTCGCAAATATCCGCAGGATGTCCTTAAATTTCGGGCGGGCGAAGACTAGTCCTAGTGAGTACCTTTCAGCGTGATACCGATCGGAATCGAAGGACAAGTCGAGCGTCGGGCCAAGGGGTCGGGGCCGGGAGTGGGCGAGCGCACGCGAAGGCGGATGGGGGAAGTCTTAGTATGAGACTGATACAGGTGTATGAGGGTATTCTGAGTCGATATTCTGATTGTCTAGTAACTACAATTACAGCGGGTTCATATACAAGTAACAGGCGTCTGGAAAATACTAATGGGGAGAAGGGCGGAACACGGTATTAACAATAAGCTTGACTAGGAACGGGAAGTTTATGATTAGTTCGGAGGCCGATGATAACCGAGAGCGGAATTACGATAAAAGGAAATGGTTCGAGGACTACAAATATAGATTGACATATGCGAAACATAAGATTGAACGGATCAACATAATAAAGGGGACGTATCAAAGTTTGACCAGACAATACGAGTTATTTGACGTGGGCGTAAATGGAGTTTGATCTTCGCGAAACATTCGTCAGCTTCGGGGCCGATGGTTTCCGAGGGGACGTCTTGAAACGTTGACAAGTGGCGATAACCTCGGGGCCGATAGGGTTGCGACACGGTCGTAACACCTTGCGAGATCGTGTTGTCCAATTTCAAACAGGTGGATGGGAAACCTGGGGAGTCCGGGCAGAGTTTGTGGGTTGAGGGTCGTAGGTTGGAGGGCGTGGGTCGAGAGGTCGGGGAGTAGAGATAAATAAGTCAGAGTTTTAAGAGATAGATGTGTCGGAGCCCATGGGCTCCAACTAGCGAGAGCAGTGTAATTCAAGGAGGAGTTTAGAGTGGAAAATGTACTAGATTACTGGGGAGAATCTAAGCTGATTTTCTGACTGGATTGTATGTACAACATCTGCCAGACTATATAGACCGTGGAATAAATAACATACCAAATCCAGTAATAATGAAACGAAACTAGCAAAACATAAAATGGGATAAGTAAACACCAAATTTGGTGTTAGGAATGGGACAGAATGGAGCAGAGTCTGAATTGTGACAGGTCATTTGACTAAAATGGGAACAGGGCTCAGTTAGAGGGATGACGGGTTTTCCAAGCAGGGTCCAGTGACTGATGCGTGGGACGAGGTTGGACATAGACAGGGATGGAGTCCAGCGGGTATTCTGGTGACTGATACATGATGTAATGAAGTCGAACGTGGACAAGTCTGATGTATGGAGTCCAGTGGGAATTCCAGTAAACTGACAATTGGTGCATATAGGGTGCGGGTGCGTATAAGTTAGTGCCCAGAGTCTGGCAGGAATTCTGGTTGTAACAAGGTGTTGTCATTTTTACTACCTAGATACATATAAAAAACATATTACAAGCTCATTGGGAATGACACATCTGTTGGCTCATGAATTGGTTTGCAAGCTCAAATGGACTGCAATTTTGGAAAACATGCTGTAGGTCAAATTTTGGAATTATTACATCAAACTATACTAGATATATAGTAGTAAAATGTGTATATGGAGTTACAAGGCAATTGGTCAATTATTGAAAGAGCTACAAAGTTTTCAATTTTCAGCAATATTTCCCCACAAATCTAGCATGTGCCTTACATAATGCAAAAGGCTGTAACTGAACTTTTGTTAAATTAGGCTCTTGCACTCTAGCCTTGTGCCAAGCTTCAATGGCCACACCACACCATGCTGTATCTTCAATGGCCACACCACACTGTGCCATACCTTACACATGTATACCATGTCTCAGTCTCATTGTTTCACTGTCATATTATTTTTTACCTATTTATTCTTTGGCACTCGCAGCCCCATACCTCAGTTGAATCACCCACTTGTGTCAACTGAGGTATATTACAGCTATTATGTTCACATTTACATTAACTTACTCAACCTATGTAGCATACTTGTTACAGGTTATGGGCCACATCCAAAGCTGTTAAACCATTGCTATTAATTGACAGAACAAACAGAACCTGACCCCAACCAACTGAACCAAATAAATCTGACCCCATGACTGACCAAACATGACCCTGCTTGTATTGGAAGTAAATATATCTAACCAACCAGTATTCATGCTGCAACCTGAAGACTGTTTTGATGGACAAAATTGGCTCACATGGCATGACACTATTTGGTCTGCTGCAAGTCCACAAGGTGTCCAAGGATACCTAGAAGCCCTCTCCACTTGCCCACAACACAGTACCTGCACTGACAGGTTACTGGGGATCCAAGAACCCTTTCACCTGAGGAATGGGAACAGCATAATGTGTATGCAAAAGCAATGATTAATCTAAATGTCAAAAACCTTGTTGGCTATGGCATCCAATCCACAGACACTGCACATGAAGCCTGGTCTGTACTAAAGGAGGTCCATAGCACATCTTCCAATATAGGACTGCTAATTGCTGATAATGAGCTTCATGTAATCAGGCACAGACATCATAACTCATTTTGCATGATTACGGGAAGGATGGGCAAAAGTCAACACACAAGGAGGAAAAATGGATGATCCCACTTTCACATGATTGTGATCACATCAATGCCCAAAAGAGGACTTTCTCTGCAAGTTTAGAGGCATTGCAGACCTTCTTCTGCAGGTTTAGAGGCTGTGCAAGCCTTCTTCTGCCTTGGTGACAAGAGGACTTTGATCTGCACTCTGAGTGAGTAGCTTTCTGCTGCATGATGGACTCGGATGTCAGAGTGTGAGTCTTCAACTCCACCAGCATCTGAGAGGTCAAGAAGTCGAGTTGGCAGTGGGGAACGAGAGCCAGTGATAATGACAACTACAAAGTGAATATGTTACTGACCGACTCAAAGGGATAGGATCCGTTTGTGTTGAAATAATATCTTAAAGCTTGTGAATCTCAAGCAATGATGAATATAATTTCCATTTGACCCTCTGTGTCTCATAGGAGGCAAACGGATAGCGTAAGTACAATAAATCTATACTAGTTCGCCTTGAGAACAATAGTGGCAAATTGCTGGTGTGGCACCTTGTGCATGCTTGTACAGCCTATATTCTAACACCCAATACTGGCCTTGTTTTCCAATGAAGTCACAAAGGTATGCTCCTTGCAACTGAGTTGGAAGGATTGGCTGTTTGGGCAAGGCATTATCAACAGTCTGTGTTCAGTTCAGACACATCATCTCTGTATCCTCTATTTCTCACCTCCCTCCAACTAGGGTACACTACTGTAATCCAGAAAGTGTGTGGGTGGGGTGGTCAGACACAAATTTTTACAGACATTAGATATCAATATGAAGACTGCTGAGCAAAAGTTGCTGCATCCCACATTTGGTAAAAAGCTTGTCTGCTCTCTCTATTTGAGTACAGATGTGCAACAACCATGTTGAATGAAATATTAGAATGTGATAGTAATATTTTAATAAAGGTAGACTTATGATGATTGAGACGAGGTTGCCAAATAACAACTTCCCAAAGACTCGCTATTGGTTGTCTGGCATGCAAAGTTCGTTTGCTCGAAAAGGTCACCAGCCGGCCACTTTGCTAAAGGAAAATGCATAAATATAGAGTGGTTTTCTACTGGAAGGTGACCCAGCACAAGTTCCAGGGCTTGGTGTTATACTTTTGGAATTGAATGGTGCCACGAAAGTGGGGGATTTTTGCGACGCTTGCTGAAGATATTGTACAGTGGTTCATCTGAACATGTTATGTTCATTGTGATATAATTTATGATCTGGTGTGCCCCACACGCACTGTGGTGTGAGCAATGCATGGCCGTGTGCATGCATTGTAGACAGAGCACATGCAGCCTGTTGTAATGAGAAGCTCCTATACTGACAGGCGAGCATTGTCTTACTGCTGCTCCCTTTCTTTCTTCATTTTATTTTGTTCATTTTCTTTTGTTCATATAACTAGCGTACCGACAAAAAGCCTCTCAGTTGTTTCCACAGATTCGTGACGACTGAGATATTATCTGTTATGCAGCCAGACAATGCGCATCGTGGGTGCACTTGTTCGTGCTGTGTATGAATGCACACAACATGGACAATGCATGCGTGTGCTGCTCACTCCACAGTGTAAAAAAAAACAATAAAAAACTACCCCTGCCTATCCCCAGTACTGATCTTATCGTTTTTCAGCCATCCTTACATCAATTCCTTGCCTGGCTCAGGGGCAAATGTGCCTGGTCCCTGCAAACATTCATGATTGATTGCTCAGATACAGAAGCACTTGCACTTAATTTGGCCTTTGCTGATTCCCCTGTACAATATCTTTGACAAGCATCACAAAAATCCTTCACTTTTGTGGCACCATTCAATTCCAAAGTATATCACCAAATCCTAGAACCTGTACTAGGTCACCTTTCAGTAGAAAACTACTATATTTATCCATTTTCTTTTAGTGAAAATTGCCTGATGGTGACTTTTTTGACCAAATGACCCTGGCATGCCAGACAACCAATAGTGAGTCTTCAGGAAGTTTTTATTTGGCACCCTCATCTCAATCATTGTAAGTCCCACCTTTATTAAAATATTACAATCACATTCTAATATTTTATTCAATGTGTGATCTGTGTTAGATGAGCAATGGTTGATTGTGGAGAAAATTAATATCTTATTAATGACTAACCACCTCAGTAGTGACTGCTTCTTAACAGGACTACTCTTAATGGCCTGATAGCTCAGGGGTTAAGAGCACTAGACAGACATAGTGGTCACTGGTTCAATTCCAGCTCAGGTCAATACTTTTCACCCTACTTACTGTATATACATAATTTCTCACATGACACTGGGCACAGACTGGAACGGACTAATCTCATTAGTCCGTATCCTTTGTAATGGGAGTGTTTCCCCTTTTAACCTCCACCATCTCCTTTCCTGCTGCAATTGAAGAAACATATTCAGCTTCTGTGGTGGATAGAGTCACAATTGGTTGTAGCTTGCTTGCTGCTCCAACATACTGCTCCTGATCCTAGTTTGATTATGTAGCCTGTTGTTGATTTTCTACTGTCCTTGTCTCCACCATAACTAGCATCACTGAAGCTAACAAATAGGTCTAGATTTGAGGGATCTGGACCATATGTTAGTTTCATATCCATAGTTCCCTTCAAATATTGTAGTAGGTGTTTGACAGCCTTCCAGTGTGCCAAACCAGGGTTTGAGTTAAACTAAGCCAATACTCCTGCAGTGTGTATGCAATGTCAGGATGGGTGGTGGTGGCCAAGTATGTACATACTGCAGGATACACAGCATCCTACCAATTTTGTATAACTAGGGTAATAAAAATTGTTTTGATTTATCTCATCCACGGAGGGTTTTAAAATCCTATGGATATTTATTGCCTACGCACACGAGGGACTTTAATGTCGAAAAATCGATGATTGACAACGCATTTGTGAGTCTCTTCGCGACCTCTTTTCAAGCATGACTTGAAGGCATAGACTGCGAGGCAACGCTCTCTATACCTTGATGAGGGTTACGACTCGGAGCATAATAACAGCCTGCTGTAGATGAATGCGACGGAAGCTGGTGCGAGTCTAAGCTTAGCGGCATTGATGGCGAGCGTCCTGATTTCGACCACAAAATCTGGGTTATGCCATGGCATTCTTACCAACAAAGTCGGTTTAAATCTAGTTGCCCACCTCACCGCCCACCCTGCAACGATGATCATTGCCCTCTTCACATTTCCCTATGTTCAGAGTCGTTCATATCGACTGTGCTACACTAGTCGAAGAATTGTACTCGAGACGAAATATTGGCGTAGCTTTTCTCCCATAACGCCTCCTGTGTGAGTACCGGGGTGAATCAGACCGACGTGCCACACATCAGACTGTTATTTCTTTTATAAGTAAAACAAAATCTTCATCTTCATCTGGATCCACATTCCACCTTCAGGGACTCTTTGCATTGGAGAGCAGTACGCCTGGAACAGGGCTACTCCAACGAACAGGGGCCTACAGAATCAAAGAATGAATTCAAGCAGCTTCGAATCGAAACTCCCAGCCCATTTCAAGTCAGAGCGCGTGGCGACTTAAAGCTCGCATTTGTTCCCACCCGCATCATCATAAAAGGTGCTACCGTGTGAACAACACCCTTGTTACTATGGAGAGATAGTATCGTTGGACGGCTCACAGCGAGACATAAACAGTATGAAACCTTCCACGCCGCGACTCGGTGAGTACTTCAGGTAATCCTGGCAGATATCCGCAGGCATCCCTGTTATTGACATACCTGTGAATATCCGCGCCATATACAGCAATGTCATCAATGCCTAGTCTGATCGGCCACAACCTCAATAAATAATAAACGTGCTAATAGTACATACCACCCTATATCTCTCGTGGATTTTGATATAATGGTGATATCAATTACCATGCTAGGCTACATTTGAATCCTGCGTATGTTCCACAGTCTGTGTCACATGTACCCCCTTCAATTTGGCGGCTTCCAGGTCCTGCAAAGTACTACCCTCACTGATGTGTCCTCCATTCATAGAGGTCAGGTCCTTTGGCACCCGTAACTCGATAGTGGTAGAGGTGTACTGAAATGCAACGTCTTTTGAGAATAGTTCAATATGGTGGGAAATAGTTCTCACATTGCTGTCTTGCTCGATTCGCTTCTGTTTCAAATACATCACTGAGGATTAGTACATGAAAAAAAATGAAGCTACTTGACGCACCCTTCGACTGGTCTGAGGCGCAGTGCGTCCAAACAAGACGTTGTCTTCTTCTTCGATGTGGTTAAGGTTTCCCCATCCTTTGCGAGCGTTGAGTGTCGATAACAGGGAATTTGTATAAAGCTTTCCGAGTGCGAAATCCCAGATGAAATTCCTGGGTAATTGTATCCTCAGCAAACAAGAACACGGAACTCTTATATGTGAAACCCTACAATGTTGTATGCTGTACATTTTTCAGTTGCAGATATCCAAAGAGGGGGAGAAGACTACTTACCTTAACGGTTGTAAACACTACCACATCTATAACTGCTGAAACAGCGGTAATTAAACCAGTCTGCACTGTGACTGTCATCCGTAAACGTATCAGTAAAGTCCATTATATCTAGTCTAGGATTCAGCTTACGTCGAATAATCCTATCTATCACATAGTTTGTCTTTGCATGTCCTGTTCTACGCTTGTACTGGCGGAAGCAGGTGAAAAACGTGGAATTTATCCGAAGCAAAGGCTTACCAAGGACCACACCAAACTCACAGTAATAGCCACGTCTGCCGCCGCCGACGATGTCAACCATGTAATTATTGCCGGCTTAAACTTCTGGAGGTCTTCGTATTTTGGAAAGAACGAGGCAGATATAGTTGCTGCAAGCGATCCAACTGTAAAGTAAAACGCAGGCTTAGACAGAGATACTCGGCAAATATATGCGGTACTTACTGAATGAACATAGGGCGAAGAAGTATATTATGGCAGCGAGAAGTCGAGACCCGCTTATAATCTTAATACGCCAAGCAACAAAGAGCTGGATAGGAGTCGAGATGGCAGCCTATTGAAAGGGGTATTAGGGCACAGCGGGTGGTTCAAGAACAGTGACTGACGGTCATGAGAGGTTCTTATTAACAGGTTGATCAACCGTTATATAACAAACCTAGCTCAGGCTGAATTCCACTTACCCGCGTACAGCACTGTAGATATGTCATATTAGCTCACTTTGATCAATTATACGAAGCTTGGCCTACTGATGGGGACCAAAGTTGTAGCTCGTGGAGTTGCTAAACATAAAAATTGAATTAATAAGATAGTATTCAATGACCAATCTGTATAACTGTTACCGTAGCGTACGACAAGTGGTTCATAGATATAGGCGACGTCGAAACATGTATTTATTGTCTCACATATCACCAGGTACAAGACCTGGATGCCTATTAGAGAGCACTGGGATCAAATTAAGGCATCTCACAAAGTATCTTATGCGTGGGGAATCACTGTAATGTAATGACGTTCATTAGATCTTCATAAGCTGGCGGCAAACGGAGAGAATTAATCATTACTTAGTGTAGGCTCTCCAGTAAATAAATGCCTTTAGAGGAAACATACTGAGGCGACGGATGTAGGGAGATTTGTAGCATGGCTAACCTGGACGATGAGAACCTGGAAAGGTCGTGACATCATTGAAAAATCCTATAATAAGATGGCGATGGACTTACACCGTAAAGAATGGTGTTGAGATACACCCCAATAAGCATAGGTCCAAACCTATGGAGGATAGAGTGAGTGAATTATTTGATTCTGTGTATCCGGCTGACACAGCTCACAATAGCTCGACACTAGGCATCGTGGAGGCGTAATAAAAATTTTGAGGTATGAGAAATAAGAAGAGGGAAAATTGATATCTAAACCTCCAGCACAATCATCTAACCGTGATTCCCTCTTTTATGAAGTTGACTGCAACTTGCGCTGCGTATGGGACAAGGATTGCGATCCCGAGTTTCTCACACTAAAAACTGTCTGAGCGCGTGATGGGTCGACGATGTCGGCACGATGAGGTACGTACACCTTCCCATAGTGTGGGGCCGTGGAACATCTGCCATACGGCAGAGTTCAGCGTCCATCACCAAGTGGCTTGACTTCCTCAGGTTGTTTAGCTTTCGATTCCTCATTCTAGTTCTCGGCGATGACCTGTTTTGATATGGAAAAATTGCATGAATATAGTAGATAACGATTTTGTTTACTCATTGTACATGTTGGGATAAATGAGCAAACATAGCGTAAAGTCTATGTGCATTTATCATCAAATTTGACCTCTGGAAATATCGTGTGGCTGTGCTATCTGTTTTTTTTTTCTTCCAGTTTTGCCGTCGGCATTCTAGACGAGGGATGATCTTTTGTTGATTGTGTACATAGCTTTTGGTTAACCCCGCGAAGGATATCCTAATTAGTGTTTAATACCAGCTCAACTCCGGAAAATAAACTAGGTTATTAACTGAGGTAGTGAAACACATCAAGTTACTGATGAATGAATTTCATCAGTAACTTTAAGACAAGTTTGTCTTCCTTTCACTCATGAAGGATCGGTATATAATACTGTAATCCTTAGTCTATTTGAAGCTTGTATAATTAAACCAAAAAATCTACAAAACAAAGGGACATGCGGCTGGGGGCCAAACAGAGGCTTTGTGGTACTGGAAACGGATCACTATAGCCTTCATTTGCAATCCTTATGAACATATCTGGTCCCCCAGTCATTATGGAGCGAGGAACCTTGAGCGTAATATTTTTGAAATCCGGCTTCTCGCGGAACTAAATACTACAGACTGTGATGTCAGCTCAGATGCTGTGTATAATGGTGAGATTCCAGGGGGCTGATTTTCATCCATACTAGTCACTGAGGCATGCGATTTCATGGGTGCTAGCTACATCGAACCATGTGTATTAGCTGTCAGCACTCGACAGTTTGACAACTTATGAATACAACAGTTGCAAAACTATGGGATGTGTTAATAAGTCTCTATCGGATGTTGAATATGTCACATGAGAATTGCTTCTGCTGTTGAACGTCGCCACACCATTATGACATCTCACGTTTTGATGGCTATTTCGAGCAAAATTCACCCACCCGTAGTTTATCTATCATCTCAAGTGCATGTTATTGCATGTTCTTTACCAGCCAATCTTCGTTTTTTTAATCCTGGATCGAGACTCTGTCGAACAAACATTCACATAAGCGGATTCAGGGTCTTCAGCGTACACCGTGATTGGTTGGCACTATGAACACTCGGTCACACTGTTAC